ATCAAAACATGAACTGATATGTATATTTAAATATTGTACCAGAAGAGAGACAGAGAGAAAGAGTTAAATCCGAAAGATTTACAGAATATCCAGGTCAAATCGAAAACTTTCATCGTTTTTTCTTTTATCTATATACCAAACGTGACCACAAAACATATAGATAAATGCTGATCCATTTTATAACAGTATGTGTGCAGCCAAGAAAACTATGTACAAATAACAATCACTATGCACAATACAATTATGACACACTTAATCTATCTCTTATAAATCCACTTGTATTCGATTAATTGGACTATTCTTCTAGTCATTTGTCAAACTAATTCAGATAAAATTGACAATATACTGACTATTTGGATTTGTGCCAACAACAACAACAATATCATTTCTGTCGCTAATAATTGAAATTAATTTTTTTGGGGAAAATGACAAAACGGAAATAATTTGACCCTAAATCAGAGCGCGAGAGCAGAGAAAAATAAACATCGCTATTAAAGAGTGACAGCCAGCGGGAAAATATACTAACGAAGTTGACTTTTGATTCTGGAAGCATGTCGACAGCAGCATGCCCATAACCTTTGCCATTGTCCATTATATATGCTGTTGCTCTATATTTTAATCGAGCTTTAAATTGACTTGGTATGACGCGTTTTTAACGAACTAATCGAATTATTCATAAAATGGGAATAAAGCATAGCGCGAATGAAAAGTGTACAATAGAACAACCAAACGCTGGCGGCATGCTTCGAATTTTAGCGAAAGAGAGAAGGAGATTTTCACTTTATAGATTTTCGCGCGCTGATTCATTTTTCTACCTCAAACACTATCATATTGTTCGACATAGTTTCACAATGCATGTACATGTTTGAATTTACCATTTTAACCACTACCACACACACCACATTCAATTTGATTCGTAAATGAAAATGAATTTTCACAATTGCCTCGGATATTAAAACAATATTCTCGGATCGGGGGCTGTAGTTGTTGTTGTTGCGAATATTTCGAAAGATGTCAGCATCAAATTGATAGAATAAATTCATAATTCGAAATTAAATAAAAAAAAAAATTCTGAAAATAATTGCAAAAGAATTTAACGTCACCCGATGAAGGTTAAATTGAATTTTATATCAAAAATAGCACCAACTACCGATGACAATGGCGAAGAAACCAGAGAAAGAGCTCAACAACACAATTGAAATGGTAAACATGTTTAAAATTTCAATTTCTAATTAATCCGTATGAATTGAGTGCATCAAATGTAATTTGCGGTTTTGAGGTTATATTTGTTATTCGGGATACAATGCAAAATGAGAAGAATACAACGACCTTGAGCCGTTACGTTCATCCCGAATTCAATTCAGATCTCGGGGAAGACAAACCAAAATACAAAAAACGAAGACGAAAAAAAACGTTCATTCGTTCAGCACACTGTGGCATTGATAACACGCTTAAAAGAATAACGTTCTTTTCATTTGGTTTAGTTGAAATAGGAGCGGAGAAAAAAGAACTGTCAATTTATTATAAACTAGACCGTAGACTGAATGCAACCGAGTTTAAATGAGTTTCCTTTTTTTGATACAAATTCTTTCGATTAATTCTTTTTTTCCATTATCAAACCATAATCCGGGATCTGTCGGATGAAAGCAAATGATTTATCCGCAAAAGAAAGAAATGCGGAATATAAAGAATTCGTATGAGTTAAAACGATCCCATTGAGTGTGGTTATCACATGGAAAATGTGTGTACGACGATGGATTGCATTAACGTCTCATTAAAAATGTTATTCGCATTACACATTCACATGAATTCGCGTTGCACGACTTCTCGTTTTAGTACCGAACATCTTCAAAAAGAGAGACCACTTGAAATATTTATTGTTGGCTTTGATTTTACATTTTTTTTTTCACCAAACACAAATCACAATATATTTTATAACATTCTCAAGTAGCTCAATAAACTCTTTCTACCTCTGCCATTCTCTTTCTGTGTGTGTTTCTCTTTTACATTCTCACCGTTTATTCATCGAAGGGTCACTGAATCTCAACTGACAACGAATAAATCTCAAAATATATATATATATGTATATTGCTTACTGTATGTGCATAGGTGGCTGAAATATCACTCTCACCAAAATAAACGTGTTTTGTTGTTAACAACTCTTCCTTGAATCTTCGATTCTTTCGGTTAATCACACTGAGCTCGCTCGCTATTTTCTACGATAAATCGAAAACGCACTTTGATGCAACGGAATTGAGCTGGTTATGTGCGAGAGAGGGGTTTCTGCAGCTTTTTTTACGTCCACAATGTATATATACATATAGAAAAATATAACCAGTCGTACAAATCAAATGATAATTCTATACATATTTTCTTAGTAATCACACTCACAGCTACGATTCTGGGAAAATGTTCGGTCTGCTGTTTCTTTCGTTTGATTTGACACACAATTTGTGAGTTTTCTGTTCGGTTTTCGCTCCGTTTGAAAATATTTTTTGTTGGTTGAACTTCAATTCAGGTTTTACTATCAATTCATGTTCGTGAGCACAAATTGTGCAAAACACATGAGATGAGAGCAAAAAAAAAAGACAACATGAACGGATGATATGGGAAATATTGAGATAGACAATATGATGTGGCTGTGCGCAAACTCATAATATGCCATACATAGCACAAACACTAGTAGAAAATTTGGCACACGGTTGTGAATAATGGTATGCGCCTCGGCTACGAAACCGCCATCGCAACATCGCAATCCAGTCGCACATTGGGAGCTTGAATGTGGGTGAACATACAATTCAAGATTTTACATTACAACATCACATCGCATGGCATCTCGCATTGCCTCTCGCAGAGAAGTTGTACACACAAATACCAGGGTGACATGTGGTTCTGTCTATAGAACACTCACGGTATCTCCGTATGAGAATATATCCGCCACATGAGAGTATGTACAAGCATTAAGAGCACATACATATACACATACACACACACGCTGGCACACACACACACACACACCACTAACGTTGCATACGGAAAATCGGACAATTATTTTCGCATTTTTACAACCAGATGAAAACATTCCTTCCAATGAGATTACTGAAATTCCACAAAACAGATTCATGATCCTGTAAAACTGTGAACAACGGCCAAAAATTAATGTGCTTAACATTCGTGCAAGTAGACTCTGCCAGTCTGCCATACACACAGTATCAGTTGAGTGTGAAGAACAAAAGCAGAAATGGTGCAACGAATGCCATCAAAAGCGTTATTATTTCAAATTTAATTGCGACGGAAAAGAAAATGCGATGGGGGAGCAAGCACATTTTGATGTATATGTACACTGAAAAGTTATTTCACTTGAATTTCGATTCCAACGAGCAAAATAAAACCGTGCAAATGTTTTAATGGAATCAGAGGCTCATTTTCTGCATTTTGATGGTATATATCTTAATTATTTTAATCAGCAGCAACTTTATGGCCGGAATTTTTGCAAAATGTGCAACTTTTGTTGATTTGAAGGGGACGATGGCGGCAGAGTGGTCCTCAGTAATTATGCAGTAGCAGTGCATAGTAAAATGCATGCTGAATTTTCCCTTTTGATGGTACTGTGAGATACGATGTGATGAATGTAGCATTCTGTCTTGTACATCCATCATTGAATATGCTCAAATAGCATAGAAAATTAGCACATGGTTTTGTTTGCCGACTCCAATTTGAGAGTCTCACTCTCTCACTCTCTCACTCTCTCGCTCTCTCGCTCACTCTCACACCCGCTGGCTGGCTCGCTCTCGGTACGGATGCAAATACGCACATATTCATAGAATTTCGCATGTATTCACTTCAGTGTGCCCATCGTGTGTACAGTGTACATTACATGGGTATACAACACAGATACATCGCTTTCGAACATGTGGCTTTACCGCGTGAGTGATGCGATTCCTTATTGCTGCTTTAATTCCAATGTGCAGCCTTTTGATTATCATATTAGATGATGATGGGTCTAAAGACACGTTTAAACTTTACAATGTTGGTCAGTTTTGGAGAGTAAATAGTTGGCATTCTTTTTTCTTCTCTTCATTGCAATTGAGAGCGTGCCGCTTATTTGTGCCGTGTGTGTTGTACAGTGATGCAGGTCGAGGCCATTTAAAGAGGTCGTTCATTCGCATTTCACCCAATCTGAGCTCCTCCCAGCTCTCGGTAGATGGAAAATTGTCGATTTACTGCAATGGCAAAAATGCATCCATGCAACAATATATCATCATCCATGTGAATAAACTACCGGAATGGAACAAGTCGAGTCAGGCAGTCCGATGTCTCACACACACCACATGCACACACACACTCACACTACCAAAGAGAGAGAGAGAGAGAGAAAGAGAAAGAGAGAAACACGCACAGTGAGAAAATTGAGAGTAAATTGCAGTTTGTATGCATGCCACACAAACGCAACCATTGCAAGAACAACAAACAAACGGGACGGAAAAAAGCTGCTGGCTTTAGGTTCTCTCATTTTCTCTACTTTGCTTTCTCTATGTGTTTGTATGTATGTCAATGCTTGGTTTTTCCTGCTCTTTTATCTTCAACGGCATAGTTACTGGGCACACATCGTTTCCCCCAAAAGCAGAGTACATAGAGGTTAGAGAGAGAAAGCGAAGGAACGTTGTTTGGTTTCCTAGCGAACAAGCCGCCTGTGAGCGAATTTCAATGTTGATGAGATTTTTCTGTGCATCTGTGTGCATTTCACCTAGTTTTGTGTGCTTGAACAATGAAAAACCGATTTTACACACGGCGCACGCTGTGATTTGCTTGGAAAATATGCTTGTCAGTTTTTGTAGCCGGAATCACAATGATTTGCTGTTTCATGTTCTTATGATGTAGTAATCGGAACGGGAGTTGCCATAATCAAAAGCAATTATAGAATGGTTTGATGTGTAGGCATAGAAAATGGCAAGAACAACAATGAAATAGACAAAAAAAAAGAAATAAACAAATCTTACCTCTGACGATGTCAAGTAGCAGAGTCGTGAATCGGTGCTGTCGATTGATGCTTGTTGCACAATTCCATATCTCGTTTCTCGATCGCTCAAATAATCGGATCGTAAGCTATCTTGCCGATCGAAAACACCCCTAAACAATAATATATGTATCAGATATAATAATTGAATTGTCAATCAGTTTTTTGTGTAAATGCTTTTCTTTTATAGTTTAGATTTGTTTTCGAATTGTGAAACGAATTTCACGTTGATTCACCTCTGTTCAAGCGAATCGGCACGAGCACTCTTGTATCCGGAATCATTTAAGCTGCTGTCTTGTCGTAAAGACGGCAACGAATCCCATGGTGACCGTTTGTGGCCGCTGCTTTGTGATGTGACCAGACCTTGGCCAGAACCGGATCCAAATGTCGAGCTACCCGATCGCCAACCGTCTGAGTGTCTGAACCATTGGGCTCGTGCTGATTCACCAATACACGATGCACACCGTGATGTCGAAAAGCTTGAATTATGATCGCTCAAGTAGCCACGGTCGCGTTCTCTTTCCCGTTCCCGGATCAATTCGTTGCGATCACTGTAATAACCGTCTCGTTCACGATCTCGTTGCTCGCGATTCACAACGGCTGGTCGCTGATGTGGCAATGGCAGAGTCGACGACTTTGCCGCTGCTGACGACGACCCTGTAAACACGATCCATACAAAACCGATATTACTTTCAAATCATTCGCAAACCAATTGTGACAACAACTATTTATATGTACATAATAAGCGACTATGGATGGGAAGAGAAAGACAATGAAAACGATTGCAATTCAAAGAAGAGAAAAAAAATGGAGTGGAAAATGCACATAGCACATAGCACATGTTCCATAGAGATTCGTTTTCCTTGCCTTAATTTTCCACCATGTGAGCAACATCTTTAGAATTAGGTTGCAAACAACTAGTATTGACCTACTGTAATAGAGGGGGAAAAAAGATGAAGAACAATGCATGCCAACAAAAGAGCGGTATATGCGGTAATCATTCGAAATAAAATCGAAAGTACCATTCGAAAAAAAGAGCCAAACAAAGAAAAACCAAGAGAAACAAGACGAGAAGGAGTGAAAAACAATGTTTCCTGCATTTATGCTGGAAACATTTGCGGTCATAATCAAATGGAAAATGAAAATTGACTGAAAAATAATAAGCAGAAAATAAAAAGAGCAATTCTCCCTAAATCGAACAGTTAATGCAAGACACGTGTTAATTGCGCGCACGCGCGCGCGCTGAAATGGGAAAGGCCATGTCTTGAATGAACCGTTCAATTAGGCGCCAAATTTGGATGGTGATTGTGTGTGTGTGCATGTTTTGAATTTCTTTGTTTTTTTTTGGTTTCTTGTTAGTTTTACTTACGCCTCCTTATTGGATAAGGGCTTCGTTGCGTTGATCCAGATAAACTTTCAGCGAATTCTGTTTTCAATTTGGAACAATTTTGAATTTTTGCACCGGATTTAAAAATCGGATTCGACCAGAATTTGAAAACAAAATGTTTATAAAAAAAATGAATTGAATTTAGTAAGAATAAAAATCCATAAAAATAACGAATCCAATCTAATTTATATATATATATACTCTTTTCGTATACGAACCAAATAAATTGAATAACGGAAAATAAACAATTCGGCACAAGTAAATGAAGCGAAACATCAAAAGTACAGAGACAATTGACATTTTTTTCTGTATTGTTGTGGTTTCGTATCGAAAAATTAAGACGAACATCGAGTGCAAAGCATTTGAAATGAAGACACAATGCATCACAACATCGTTGAAAATTGCATATTACAAGCAATTGTTCACATGGCACAATTAGGAATTTTTTTTGCTTCATAATCATCATAGTGAGCCAAGTATATAATACCTCATATAAATACAATGCCATAAGTAAGAACAATTGCTTTGATAGCCGATTTTAAATTGAAAAAAAGGAAAAAAGAAACAAAAGCGATATTTTGAATGCGTGTTCTACACTTGAATATCGAGAAGGTAGTTTAGGGTTCCTTCTTGAATAGAAAATCCAAATCAACAATTCTTCTATTGATTAATAAAAAAAACAATGGATAACCTTCTTTTTGGCACTAAATACAACATTTCAACCTTAAAATACTTGCTCTTCAAATCAGAAGCGGATATTTTTTTGAGTAGAAATATCGAAAATATATATAAATGGTCAACAATGAAAAGAAATGAAAAAAAAGACGTAACGGGCAAATACAAATGAATGAATTAATTGGTTTTTAGTTCACGATTCGTTCAGTACGAAAAAAGTAAAACGAAAACAAAGTTCAATCACTAACTGTTACAATATGTTACCTAAATTTTCCATACTTTGTGATAATAACGCTTCAAACGTGTGCAAACTATAGGACTCGGCATCCATTCCTTTGGCCAATGTATTTCTCAAGTGCATTTCGTATTCCAGCAATAGACGTGATGTTGGTGAGCCGGGTGTTGGCGTTACATTTGGCTGATTCTACTCATGTTGCGATTAAAAAAACCGAAACGAGGGAGGTTAATATGGATGTCGGTGTTTGAAATCATTTCAATGCATATACCTGATGATGATGTTGATGACGATTGCTGCCCTGACGTTGACCGTATGGCTGATCTTGATCTGAATTTCCATTACTTGAGCTAGGTGTTGTTGCATAGCACTGATTGTCGAACATAACATTATCAGATGGTGGCGATCCTTCTAAACAGCCTCGTTCTCGTTCCAATTCCAAGTATAGGCCACGCTGTTGTTGCGCCGAAAAACTGCTACTGCTTCTGCCGATTTCGTGCGATGATCGTGAATTTGAGAACCTGAACACAAAGTAATTTTCATTTCAAATTAGTGAGTATTCGTGCATGTGGAACTGAATGAGCTGTTATCAATTTCATGTACCTTTTGTTGCAGAGTGCAGATTGATTTGAGCCTCGTGACATTGCATTATTATTGAGAATGTGCGCGGCGTGAATGGCGTGTGGGTGTAAGTGTGGCGGCGGTGGAGGTGGTGCATTTATTATGTTTGCATTGTAGTAATTATAACGTCGTCGGCCCATTTCAGGTGATGTAACTGGGCTCTCGGCGCTCGTCATTGGCTTAAGCATTCGCTTCAGTGTGGTTGGATCTAAGGAGAAAATAAAAAGCAAAAACTATTTTGTAATCAACGTGAATGATGAAAAATTCGACGAATCACATGTGAACATAAATTGTAGCTATCGCTAGTTATTATCGGGGCTACAGATGGATTTTGGGTGTTTGCATTGATTAAAACGAGAAACCAAATGCATTGTTTTTTTTTCTGTTGGAATCAAATAAGTCTACTGACCGACATTCATGTCTTCGGTGCTCTTTGTCTTACGGCGTGTATTGTTATTCAAAATATTATGGTGCAATTCGTGAGCCTAAAAAAAATATGGGAGGAAAAGAATGATCGAAATTAAAATTCACCGTCGAACAGTTTTGGCAATTTGGATTTTTGCTTTTGCATTGGATTTGCACAAACACGGACCATTTCATCGTTGTAGTCTTTCGTTCGGGTTCCGGTGCCGGTTGAGGTTTTCGTGCCGTGCTGTAATGTGCCACCAGCCTGTGTGCCCTCCGATTTAGATGTTTCTTCCATTTTACTATGATGTACCGGTGCATCGTCTTGGCTTATTTGTGATCCAACATGATTTTGTCCACTGCCGACCAATGGTGTTGTTCCGCTATTGGTTGTGGTCATTGTGCTAGTTTCTTGGGATTTGGTTTGACGTGATAAATCTGTGTGTGCAGAGTGCATTAAAATCATCCATTAACATTTTGGGGCAATTAAATTATTAACGATTTTGGATTGCATGCCATTTGTTCAGAGTTTGCAAAATTGTTGTTGCTATGTACACATTTATACGTATGCATTTAGATCACTAATGCTATTTACATGGTTTGCATTTGAAATGCAATGGGTTTTTGTTGTTTGCATTGCATTTCTTAATTATGATTTGTCGTTGTTGTTGTTGTTGCTCTGTTGCTGGACAGAGAGTTCTTGTGTGAATGGGAGACTGGATTTGGATCTGGATTTTGGATTTGGAATATAGATCAGTTACTTACCTTGTGCATTAATTTGATTAGTTTGATTTCCAGCTGAAACGTTATCGTATAATGAGGTGCTTGATGTAGCCGCTGTGACCTTATCGCCGCGCATACCATCGGTTTCGGTGCCTCTGGTTGTGGCTCGTGGAAGTGTTGATGAGCCTGCAAATTGAAAATCAATTAACAAAAACTCCAATTCAATAATTGTAACGAGGAAAAAATATGAGCACACATTCGAAAAAAAAAGAATCGAGGCTAATCGATTGATTTTTACACAATGTAATAAATGAATAAATTTAAATTGTGTGACATATTTTAAATGGAACCGAAGGTTGTTACCTCGATAGCGTGGATCTTGTGAACGTATTCGTGCATATTGTTCGGGTGTCATGCACGTACACTGTGGCTCGCGTGCTCGTGATGGACTCGCCGGTGTGCTCAATGGTTTCCGTTTCGCTTTGATTTTACCTTTACCGACCGGTTCCAACTTGAGAGAGTAGCTTGATGAGGCCTTTCGTGAAAATTTGAAAGAAGGCGACTGTAAAACGTCGCAATATCATTAGCATAATTGGTTGGGGATACACAACAGGTTTATTTGTGGTGGTTGTCGTTGTTTTTGTTGTTGTTTGTCTTTTCATTATTATGATTCTCATTGCATTCAAGTTAGTTCTGTGCAAAAGGCTATATTATGCCACAAATATAATAATTAACGTTAACAACCGTATAGACTGACTGAATTGTTGATCACAACACATACTTACATATATATAATTAAAAGTCTTGCATTTGGAAATTTGTACATTTGTAGTAGGATTTGTGCGTGTGTGAGTGTGTTGAAAAAGAAATTTTGTTTTATTGTTGAGGAAGGTAAAGGGGATGGCTTGCATTGTCAATACTCGTGTGGAGGTGTGTATCGACAATGCGAACTGTGTTATTAGGTAGTGGTGGTGGTAGATATTGTGGGCAATAAAAACAATTGTGTTTAACTGAGAGCAAAAAAAAAATATCGTCCAACCATGCTTTGTGGTATTTTCTTTTATGGTGCACGAAAAATTAAACGAAAAATCGATATTTTGTGCATGGAATAAACCTAATGTCGAAAATTCAATTCAACAAATCTGGAGCACATTGTCATGGAATTGACACACCCCATTCGTTGCGAAACAAACATTTGAACTATCGCACAGTTTCTGTATTATTGCGATTCTTTAGGTTTACGCGTGGAAATTGTGTTACACATTTTTATGCGTAAAAATCAATTTTTAAACGTCTATGTTGAGAATCGTTTCCATTTTGCAGATGTTACAATAAAAACAAAATTAAGCAGGCAAAAAATGGGGACAAAAACAGACAGTCGCTTAGAAAAATACAAAGCCATTTCGATATAAGTTATATAGAATTGTCAGCAACACATAAAATAGACATTTAGAATGTTTTTTTTTTTCTTCAATTTTTGCAGTTAGTAAAACGACGGATATGTTTAACGAAACATGGAAAATGGTTTAGGTTCATAATTACATGTACAACAATCAATTGAGAAAACACATACGTGAAGCAATGGCTCATCATCAAAGTGAACATGATGAATTGATTTAACTGAAAACTTTTGAAGCGAAAAGAATGAGAGAAAACAAATTAAATCATTTCATTTGAAAAAAATAAGTAATCGGTCGTCTGTTCGGAATTTACAGTTACATGAGATAAAAAAAATAATACAAAAAACAGAATTCTGTTGTTGTTGTGCAAAATACAGTCACTCACAAAATTGTCTGTACACCTCACGATTTTCATACAAATTGGCGTTTTTCGTGTCTCAAAAAAATATGCTTCGCGAAATCGAACCTCGAAGATTTTTGGTATACTGTAGGTGGAAGGCCTGAAGACCAAAATAGTGAAATTTCAGAATAAAAAATCCACAGGAATTAAAATGGGAGATGATTATG